CCCGCCACCCTGCCTTTTTTTTTTTTTTTTTTTTTTTCTTTTTTTAACATAAGAACCAGTATTGCACTGGTATTGAACACTTTAACAGAGGAACATTGACCACTTGCAGGAATGGTGCAGAGGGATGTTGGAAGGTGAGTTAGGGTTCAAACAAGCTAATGCTACCCCTCAACTTCCTCCAGCCCTGGCACTCCACAGACTCAGTAAGTTTTTGCCTAGAAGAAAGTTTAGGCACAATCCACCAAGGGAACTCTTCCTGTATCCCTGAGCCACACCAACAAAGGTCCAGGTGCTGGAATGCCCAGACTGTTGGCCTTGGGAGGTGAATTTCCACAATAGCTATTGTTTCAAGAGCCAGATGTGACAGGCTACCAGGATTGAGAATGGGGGTAGGGAGCTATCCCATGATGTCATCAGCAGCCCTTCGGATGCCCTGGGGCCACCTTGACCCAGAACCTTCTTGGTGTTCCCCCTGCCCTCCTGTCCTCCCCTTCATCTCATTTCCCATGAACTTCCTCAAGGGCCCTGCTCTTTGCTTAGCTTAGGGGTCATTGTGCCCAGTAAGTCAAAAGCACAATGACCCCTCCTGAAGCCCAGATGGGCCGTGGGTCCTGTCTAGTGTGCACAGCATCAGACAGAGCTGGATTCAAATCTGCCACCTCCTACTGTGCAGCTTTGGGCCAATTACATAACATCTCTGAATCCCAGCACGATGTTTACAAAATAGGGGTAATAATGTAGTTACCCTATGTGAGAAATGAGTTAGGCAATGTCACGGAACAGCTTAACTCAGTAGCTAACATGCAGGCTAGTAGGATAAGCAGGGGGTCACATGTCCCCCGGGGGTTGAGATTAGAAGGGCTACCTATAGCACATCTAGACCCTTTGACAGAGGGGAATGCAGGGGTCCCTGAACTACATTTGCATTTTTCTCTCCCTCCTCCACCCCTATTACCATAAAGCCCTTTAGGATCAGCAGCCAGTGACTTTCTTAGAATTGATGGCAGAATGTGCCCAAGAGAGTGCCAGCTTAGAGCAATGAAGTTTGAAGAGGGAAAATTAGAAGTACTGCCTATGCCCAGAAACATTTGATTCCAACTCTTCAACTGTATTTTTCTCCCATACACCCCTTGATTTGAAAGACTTGGAACCAAAGAAAACCTACATGAATTAAGTCATCACCCATTTATTTTCCCATGCATATTCAAAGGCTTTATAATTGCCAGTTGCAGCTTCTTATCTGTCTGGGAAAAACAGGTTGCTGCCCAGAGTAGAAATAATTCCAGGCAAAATCAAGGAAACTTGGCATTCGAGTTAACCCTGTGCAGCCCAAGCGTGGGAAAACTATCGTGCTTTGGGAAAATGTAAATGACGCAAGAATCCCATTCCTTTCCTTAAAAATCTCCTGCACTCGGGAGGGGCAGGGGAGCCTGGGCAGCCCAGTGGGGAAGCTAACCGCCCCGGGCATTTGTGTCGCAGATTCTGACACGATGAGGAAGCATCTGGGTGGATGGCTGCTGGCCATCGTCTGTGTCCTGGTCTTCAGCCACCTCTCCGTGGTCACGGCGAGAGGCATCAAGCACAGAATCAAGTGGAACCGGAAAGCCCGGCCGAGCACCGCCCAGATCACCGAGGCCCGGGTGGCCGAGACCCGCCCGGGAGCCTTCATCAGACAAGGCCGCAAGCTGGACATCGACTTCGGAGCCGAGGGCAACCGGTACTACGAGGCCAACTACTGGCAGTTCCCCGACGGCATCCACTACGACGGCTGCTCAGAAGTCAACGTGACCAAGGCCATGTTTGTGTCCAGCTGCATCAACGCCACCCAGGCGGCCAACCAGGAGGACTTTTCCCGGGAGAAGCAGGACGTGCTGTACCAGCGCGTCCTGGGGCGGCTCGTCAGTGAGCTCTGCGCCGTCAAGAGCTGTGACTTTTGGCTGGAAAGGGGAGCGGGACTTCGGGTCACCGGGGACCAGCCCGTGATGGTCTGCCTGCTGGTTTCCATTTGGTTCATGGTGAAATAAGTCTTGCCAGGAGGCTGGCAGCCACAGAGATGAGCTGGTGAGCAAAGCACAGAGAGTTACCCCAAACCCTCGTGTGTCCTGAAGGTACCAAAGAGCCGTGATTCATCAGCGCCTCAGATCGTAGCACTCCCAAGCATGCGCCCCGGCGCCTGTCCCTGACAAGTGCGTGTGCGTGTGTCACTCCCCCCGCAGGCTCTCACCGGGGGTGGGGCTAGGCTTTGCTCATCTCTACATCCCCAGCTCGGTGCAACAGATTAGGCGATGAGTGTTTGGTGATGGATGAAAGAACACATCAGGAACTGTGCCGGGTGGGGCTAGGCTTTGCTCATCTCTACATCCCCAGCTCGGTGCAACAGATTAGGCGATGAATGTTTGGTGATGGATGAAAGAACACATCAGGAACTGTGCTGAGCGCTCCACAGGACTTCCCAACAACTCTTAGAGGTAGGTGTTACTCCCATTTTGCAGACAAGGAAACTGAGGCTCAGAGAGGTGACGTGGCTTACCTGGAGTCACACAGCTAGAAAGTGGCAGAGCTGGGATTCAACCCTGGCTTGTCTAACCCCAAGTTTTGTGCCCTGTCCAATCCCAGAGCTGTCTCATGGCCACTTTATGGATTGCAAGGCCCAAATTGAAACACATCTCTAATAAAACTGTGAAATTTCCACTTTTAGAAATAAATAAAAAGACTTGAGCAGATGGCTGTGTACTTTGATGCCTTATTACATGGAAGCTTGGTTTAATTCTTCTAATGAGACTAAAATATAATAAAGGAATTAAATTAAGGTAGAAATAAAGCTAGACAAAAGCCCAGAAATCCTACTGTAAGGTAATAGTGCCAGGCTGAGTCTCAGAGCAGACCAGATTTGCAGCAGGATATGGCTGTGGCACAGGAAGGGTAAGTGCTGGCTGCTCCCCTCCCTGAAATAGTCCATGCATTTTAGAAAATATTTTTTAATGACTTGCTTGCTTCTGATGTTCTCCTAACCCTATGTGCATGTCTTTACATAAATCCATATGAGCATCTTTAAATATACTCTCTTAATATAGGTGCCCAACACAATCTCTATCGGTTTGGTGAGGGGCCATCACTTTGGTAGATACCACTACAAAAATATAATGACTTGCAAAAAAGGTTAAAAAGAAATGGTGTCTTTAGGGGCACCCAATAAACAACTCACTCATGCCATAAAAAAGAATTGATACCCTGTCTTATTAGTTAAAATATATATATAACAAAATATGTAGTTACATAAAAAATAATGAGCTTAATGCTCTGAGATGCCCCCACAGGCCTTCTGGGGTGGTCGCAGAGACCCCCGGGAGTTGTTGAACCATATTTGGGCATAAGAGCTGCTGAATATTATCAATTCTCCTTTAAAGAGAGTCTGTAAGGGGGTAATGTGTATTGTCAGACTATTTCAGAACATGAGTGTTGATAGTGGTACCGCTTGTACTGGTTTCCGCTGCTCTCGGTGTTCTTTTCAAGGTTTTAGTTTTGAAAGTGGGTGGAGGACTTGGGGCGGGGCCGTCTTCCACCAGATAAATACAGGAGATACCTGGCCGCTGCTGAAACAGCCCAAGAGAATGTTACTTTCTGCTCCCACGGTTCTGTTAATTCTAGATCAGAGAGCAAGAAAACGTACAGAACACATAGAGGTTATTTCTTGCATGTTATTTTAAAAATAATAATAATAACAATGGCAATAAAGAAAGAAAAGTACTTAGAGGCTGATGTTGAAATTTCAATTTTTGGCTCTGCTAAGTTTAATTACGAGGGTACACACAGCCACGTAAGCAAAATGATTTCATTTCTGATGTGAAAACGCTTTGGTGTGATGTAGTCCATTTCCTACAATTACTGTCTTTTCTCATTTTGTTAATAGTCCCCAAAACCAGATTTAATTTGTACATGGTGATTCAAATGCAAAATTTGTTTACAGAACTTTTAGTTAAACTATGCTTGAACATCCTTGCTCATATTAGTGAATCAGGAGGTGGAATAAAGTTTTCGTGCATCCAATTTTTCACGTTAGCAAAGGATACCAAGTGGCAGCTATGTGCAAGACGTTGTGAGGGGCTTCTGAATTATTCTTGATATAGTCATTTTACACTGTGAATAATTTCACAACCATTGCTTTCTTGCTCCCTCTGAGCGTTGACTTTTTAAAATATAAGTTTATTTTAAAAATGACATTAAAATTACAACAAAAGTCCAAAAGAAAAAAATTGCTGCAATCTCAGCATCTGATGAAATCAGTATTTTCATTTTCTCCTGTAACCTCCTAGGCCTTATCCATGTGCATATACAAATGTGCATGTTATCATTAAGAAGACAGGAGAGCTTTTATATTCTAAATTTTTACTTAACTTCATTCCATACTCTTCTTTCTCCTATTTTCCTATGATTTTTGTTTTCTTGTCTCCCCTCTATTTTCCCCAGCCTCACCCCCTCTACACTTTACTGTGCTCAGATATTTAAGTGAGGATTTTTTCTTGATTGTGCCTTTTAAAAATACTTTCATAGTACACGTAAAATTTATTCCTCTGCAACTTGTCTCCTTAACTGAGGACATCATGAAACTCTGGGTCAACAGCTAGCTAATTAGCTAACTCGTCCTTTCAGCTTGCTGTGTAATATTGCATAGTAGGGATGTACCGGGGTTGATTTAATCATTTCCTTATTGATGGACCTTCGGGTTGTTTCCAGCTTTTTGCCACTGCAAACAATAAACTTCCTTGT